ATAACAAGATAATCGCGCTGGAGCTTTAACCTCTTCAGTGGGGAATTTAAATTTTATTATTATTATTAAACTGTGTGACTGCGCGATTCCCTCAGGACCGATTTTTTTAAATAAGCATATCTAGATTTCTTTCCTCTTTTGCTATTTTCTTTGAAAAATTTTGTAAAATGGAATACAAAGTATATTCAATTTTTATTTATATGTACCAATTGAGTATTTGAGTGAGCAAAACAATAGAATAGTTTTAATAAATCAAAAGGAACTTAATATTTTATCACGGAACTCTTCCGGACATATCACTTAAAGGATTAAACCCCCCCCCCCCTTCGTAGCAAATGAGCATCCAGTAACGATGAAGTATAAGGAACGTCTTTGCGACAATATGTTTCTCGCGTGCGAATTCATAACCGCTCGACCGAGACGGAATTCATAAGGATTCGGTTTCGTTCGTATTCATGGCTCCCGATGTATCAGAGAGGGAGAGAGAGAGAGAGAGAGAGAGAGAGAGAGAGAGAGAGAGACAGAGAGGACTGTGAATGCCACTGACTCCTTTAACGCTCCAGCCGATAAAACGGGACCTTATTATTGCGCTACGTGTCGGAACCAGTCCCATATGTATCGTACGGCCGTAGGCTCGTCCATCGAATCGGTGAATCCTCTGAACGAAACAGCAGCTGCAACGCTCTCGGCGCAGCGGGGAGAACAGCTGTCCTCCCTCTCTCCCGGCCCCTCCCTCTCTCTCTCTCTCTCTCTCTCTCTCTCTCTCTCTGTCTCTTTCTTATCCATCGCTTTCGAATCTGGATCCCAATTCTGGTTCTGGCTCTGGCTGCCGTATCTGTCGCGCCATATGGGTAGATTCGCCGCCCGCAGAGGCCCGCAGCTTCCAGAAAGCGGATTTGCCTAAATAAAATAAACGCCGCACTCGCGACGGCGCGATCGTACGAAAACCGACAGGAGCGAATCTGATCAAATGCGCGCGCTTCCTCTCTTTCTCTTTCTTTGTCTCTCTCCCAATAATGTTTTATCTTATTTATTTCAATCTCCATTGGCGAAACGTGAATTTTATTTTGCAGAACACATAGAGGAAGAGAAAGAGAGAGAGACTGAATCGATTTACAGAGAATGAGTTTACGCTTGCGAAATCTCTCACGACAAACTAACAAGTTGCGCTTTTTTCACCCTCCCGCTTCCACAAAACAGAAATTCAGCCAAAAATCTACATTTAAAAAATGTATTAACGATATTTATAAGGACGGCATATAAATGGGCATTTCTATAACGGGTTCCCCCTTATTGCGTTTCGACGATGTGACGGCCGATACGATTGACGCAACCGCAATAAGCGCGGATTTATCGAGGCGGTATATCGACGATACACGCCTCAGCTTTGTTCAAGCCACAGACATAGGTAAACAATAAAAAAAAACAATATACACGCACACATACAGCAACAGAGTATAAAGAAGTTAGTGGAAACGATGGAACCAGACTGCAGACGGACGTGAAAACGATCGGCGTGAGGTCTTTTATTTTGCGCACGAAAACGCCATTCGCTTATCTTCGCGTCGATATCGCAAAAACCGACACGATAACGCAAAAAGCGGCCTCTTTGCCGCGCGGAGAACTTAGACGCGCGTTAGAATCGACAATTTGTCATCGTTATTTGTAAAAGCAAAACACACACATTCTTCGGTAAACGACATGTCGCATCCGAGGTTCCGTAATTTGCGTCATACTTTCATGAGATCGATATTCATGATTCAACAACCATGAAGGAAGAAGGAAGATATAACGAACGTACTCCCTCTCGGAGAACTCGCTGATCGATACTGCGGCAGTGTATCGAGCCCAGGTCTAATTATCCGGCGCGTATCGCCGCTCTATCATTGAAAATTTTGTCCGGCCAAATCCGACCTCGCCCTCGGCCTAATAACGTCGCGCTCCCCTTCCGCGCATCCTCCGCGCTGATCATAGCGTAACGCGAATACCACGCAACGACGATGCGCGTGTCGATCAACTCGCAACGACGCCGACGGCGACAACAGCGGCGGCGAGGGGTGTTTCACCCTCTGTCGATCCTAGTCTGCATTGTCCGCCGATTCTGGTCTCGCCGCCAGCTGTTGCCATTTTTTTGTCTCTCCGCGCTCACCCCCGGGTCCTTTGTCGAACGCCATCCTCGTTCGTGCCAGCCGATCCGAGCCGAAATTAATCAAAAGGGGGACGATCGGCCGCACGTGGACAAGCCACCCTCTTGCGCGCAGACGCGCTCTTTTCCCCGATCAAAATATTAAATAGCGCAACCCCCCTTCGATTCCGCTTCGAGGCATCGAGGAACAATAAGAGAGAGGGATGAAAGACGAGGAGGAGGAGAAGAAACAGGAGAAGGTGGAGGGGGCGAAGCGAACGGCCACGTGCCAACCATGGGAATATAATGCCGCAACGGCCACGTGCCCACCACCTATCGGGTGTACCGGCAGAAAACGACCACTGGTTGCGTCGTCGTAGCAGCTTACCCTTCCAGCTCGCCCTTTCCTCTTCCCTATGCTCTCCTGCGTGATGTGCGCGGCGCACAATTATTTGCATTTGGGATTTACTTCGGACGATCTTAAAAGCGAGGAGCATGAAAATTGAATCGCCGCCGATGGGAAAACAGGAGGCCGCAGTTGGGTATATTTATAGCCGCGATTATGTGAACATGTGGCGATCAAACGCAAATAATTTTACGACTGTGTAGATTGATGTACACCGAGCTGTTTTATTTTCGCAGCGGAAAAGTGGATATTGATCTCTTGACACACTGCATCGCGCCTGCATAATTTTTATCTCCATTATGTCATTTTTGTTTGCTCAAACTCGCGGTTTTCAATTTATTACTTGCATTTTCGCTACACGGACAGAATTTTGCAGCAAAAATTACTGTAGAATTTTATAACCGGGAAACAGATCAATATTCCGCAGTGATTGTGACTATCCTCCCATTTCATACGCGCTATTTATATTTCAGGAACTGTGACATGGACTATTACAAAATGTGCAGTGTTTCTAGCGAAATTTACGTTGTTCCTTGCATTGAGAAAAAAATATTTGAAGATTTATTTATGGGTTATAAAATCGCGTGGGTCATTCACAGCAATAAACTTTATATTTCACAAAAATAAAATTTATATCCCATAAACAAATTCTCAAGTATTTTTTCTCTGTGTGGCGAGACAGATCTTATTGACAGTCTATTCCTGCACTATTAGAAACATAATAAAATGGAAAAGAGAATTTATTTTAAAACACAAAAAAAGCTATAATATTTTTTCCATATATAGATAAAGTCAACTGAAATCTATTTCCAGTTGGTGTTAACCTCCGACTTTCCAGCGAAAATTACTGAAAGGCTTAATGAGAGAAGTTGTTATAAAATTCTCGTAAAAATGACGATATCTTGTGACTCACGTTCTTATGCTGAATCACATCGATACGATCTCGTCGCGGCATCGTCGACGCGAGCGGATTAAACCGAAAGAGACGCGAACGACATGACGAATCGCGATTGGGTCATAACGCGCCCAAGTTACGATCCAGATTAAGAAAATGGGGTGAGCGGCGACGGCAATGCCGGTCGTCGCACAGTCTGGCGTGGCACCGCGCACTCTTTCCTATTCGCGTATTAACTAAGGGGTCGATAAATTACTTCTCTCCGCATGCTAATAGGAGCCGCACGAGGGTAGATAAGAACGCGATTCTCCGCCGACAACTCTGTAAAATTTTAATCTAAGTTCGACTCGGCGAAACTCTATGAAATGATATGGCGACATGATTTAAGACGCGGTTTGCAACCACGACATCTCGTGATACGCTCATATGATTGTCAGTGAAGATACAACAAAATGTGAAAGACCAAAGTAATAAAATATTAAGTAGAACATCTTGCGGATATTCTGAGAGAAATTGTCTTCGTTAAAATTACAGTCATTTTCCGTAATAATCATATTTCTTTTTGTTCTAACGAAGAACCTAGTAACGGCATAAAATATTATTATATATTTTTAAAAATATTTTAAATATATAATATAAATAAATATTTTTAAATATATAATAATATTATAAAATATTATTATATATTTTTTATAACACTGTAGTAGCGCTTGCTATGAAAATAATTTCGCTGACTATAATTTTTGCACTAGCGTGAAACACCCCATTGTTGATCACTTTTAGTCTATTAAACTCTAAAAAATCTGTTTTTTTTTTCTGATCAGCAGAGGTTTTTAACACACAGTTTTAGTTGCGGAATTCTCTTTTGGAATCATAGACCTTAGGCAAAAAGTTTAACTCAATATCGGTCGCAAGAAAAACCAGATTTTTTTCTAAAATATCAGTGACTAAAGGCATGTCAATAATGTATTTTACTCTATATTTTGTGTTTATATACTTCTTTATATACCTTTTGTTTGTATACTCTATATTTTGTCCTATCTTTATGTTTTATTCTATATTATAATTAAATACATTTAAATGTGTTAAATGACATTTTTTCTTTTCTTAGATGCATTAAATTAAAAATGCTTCTACAGTACAAACGTTAATTAATAGCTGATGCTAAACAGTTGCATGAAATCAACAAAAAATTATTTATAACCGGCTGATAAATAAAACATTTTTTTGTTAATTTTATGCTTAGTTAGCATAATTAGCATAATTAAGTTTAGCATAATTATGTTTAGCATCAGCCATTCATTAACGTTTGTATTTTCATCCTGTAAAAGCACTTTCAATTTGATGTATCTAATTAGAAAAAAAAGAGAAAACTACGAAACGTTAAGCCCAGCATCGCCTTGAAACGACAAGAAATATGTAGAAAGAAATATAACCGAGATAACATACTTGGTTTCGAACTTGGCTAATCCAGCTACTCCATCGAGTAAGTCTTTAGTAAATATCTCTTATTTTTTAGGTATCTTTCCTCTCAATGTGTGTATAGGTACTCGCCTACTGTGGATACGGAGCGAAACGTTTAAACCTAAAATATTTATTTTACATACAGACAGAATATGTTTCACTATTTTAGAATGTGTTGTTTTACAATCCGGTCCCAAGTCAGACTTGTACCAGGACCTCGTAGTCCCTATACGAGATCTCTTTGCCGTCGTACGGAATGTACAGACAACCATGGCTCCTATGAACCTGTCGGACAACAAATAATGTATCTCTCATCACGTCGTTCACACGCGTCCATCGAATGTGGCATAGTCGCGATTCTTCAGCGTTACCTTTCCTACGCAGGGCACTCTGTTGTGATGAGCGCGGCCGACGTACAACATCTCCCCGCTCGAGGTCCTTCCGGCTTCCACCGCGTTTGGCGGTACGTTACCGTTCTTCGAACGAACCCAGTTGAAAACAGGCGGGGCTCGTATCAGTACCTGAATTAAAAGCGAGCGTTTCTTCAAGTTATATCCGCTGGCCGGATCCGATCGCGCGAGGTACTCGAGTCAGCCAATGAAACGGTGTATACTGCCGCTCCTCGCGCACCCTTCCGACTCCACCCAAGGCAAATAGATTAATCCAGCTATCTATCGGCTAGAGCCGCGCGACTAAAGACGAGATGGCGAGGCTGCTTGTGTAAGCCGAACCAGAAGAAATTGATTCGAACGTGCGCGATCGAGTGCGCGCCACAGCAAACAGAGGGTTCGCCTAATGCGCGGCATCGCATACGATACACTCCAGTACCGTGTCGAAAACCGTCAATCAATACCGAACCCCGCTTTGCGCCTCCTTCGCTTTTCCCGACTTTCGCTTATCGAACGTTCCCGGGAAATCGCCGGAAGTAATCCTCGCTCTGTGTTTCAGCGATGCGAACGACGACGGTCGTTTCCGCTGTTACGTCGTAACTGGAGTTCCTCAAGTCAGAGTTGGGACATCGTCCGCCGCTTGTAAGGAGCGAGTAAATGAGTGAACAAGAGAGAGAGAGAGAGAGAGAGAGAGAGAGAGAGAGAGAGAGAGAGAGAGAAACTGCAACGCGCTTCATCGGTCTTAGAACTCCTCTCTCACTCCTAGCTTCACACTCCCACTAACTTCATCCCTATAAATGGCGGACAGGGCATAGACCAATCAGGAATCATCATCCCTTGTCCTAACTCTGACTAGAGGAACTTTAATAGCCATCGGCGATCGACACATTGAATGAAAAATATAGTTGCTTTCGGCGCCAACTATACTTTTTTATGATTTTAACCAGAAAAATAATTAGAAGAACCATCTTTTTAACATTTACTAAAACAATGGTTTTTCTAATTATTTTTGTGGTTAAAGTCACAAAAGCGTATAGTTGACGCCAAAGGCAACTATATTTTTCTTTCAATGCAGATACATGGTGTCTCGAATACGATCAGATTTCGTAAGATTCGTAGATTTCGTTTAAAGAGACGCGGAGTGATGTGGTAGAGGAAATCTAGAGAGGAGATTCAGGGGAGCGCGCGCCCAGTCGTTTCCGCGATATTGCAATATGCGAATTTCCGCGACTGATAACGCTGGTCAACAACTATCTTACACCGAGGAGATAAAAGTCAACTATTTTTACCAATTTTGACCTACCGAATTCAAATATAACAAATAAAATGTTCTATTGGCAACAGTTGTGGATGCACGACAATGGATTTTTTTGTATTTCCCTTCAAAATTAATATTACTTTATGTTTAGCAAATCATTGTAGACATATACCAACACTTTTGTTGAAATCAATATTTCGATGGTCAGATTACTCTGTTAAATCTATTTTATACGGCGGAAATTGTTTTATTGCTTTGTCAGAGTGTTTTATTGAGAGGCAAACAGGTTTCCACGCGTAAATTCGCTTTAGTAGCGCTTTAGTGGCTGAGAACTTAAAAGGAGGGATCTTATTTAAAACGTGTTCTTTCTTTCCTATGTTCCGTCTCTTCCGTTATGCTTCGAGCATTATTAATAGCGTTGTTGCACGTGTTGAATTGCAATGTATATTGCACAAGTGTGTTGGCAGAAGTAATTACTTTTGTTATATTTGTGGCGAATTTACTTTAGCGAAACAAATATATAAGTTAAGTCCATTGACATGTGAAACGAATGAATTGTACTTCGGGTGCAAAGCAGGAGATAATGATAAAATTGGGGCCCCTCATATCTGTTCTAATATATATAACGTAAAATGTCCTTTTCTCGAAAAGTCTGTTACGAACTAAACTTCCTGTTATTTTCTTGTTCACGATATGCAAACAAAAAGTTAAAAATTTTCTAATACCCAGTGTAATGCATGTCGCGCGATTGCAATCGTAATCTTATCTCTCATCGCGGAGATGAGACGAGCAGGTAATTCGCGCGGGCGAGACGTTACGTAAGCATTTTGCGCAAGCTCTTCAACTCGCTTATTAAAGTAAAAGAGGACAGTAGCGTTACGAAACCGACGCGTTCCGTGCCGTCCGTCCATGAAGGCTGAAGCACGCAAAAGTGCAAGACGCCTCTGCGTAATTGCGAATTAATCGATGACCCGAAAAATAGCGCGAAAGCCAAAGCCGTCGAAAATTGACGTTTGAGACGGCCGAAACTTCGGCGGAGAATTCCGGTGCAACGTGAAGGTCCGGTAGCGAAATTTGGCGGATGAAAGTGAACGTCGATCGAGTTTCTCGGCTGGCGTCAATAAATTATACCTCGAAGTTGTGTTTCGTGTGCTCGGCGCCTCCGTGAGCCACGTAAGCGACATTGTGATCCGGCTTCACTTTCGCTGGTATCATGTCACCCTGGTGATTAGCGCGTCCTACCACAAGATTGCTACCGTCCAGATCCCTCCCGATGGAGATCATCATGTGAAGATCGGAGTAGGGCACCGGCCACCTAACCCACTTGTATCCTGCGACGGAAATCATCGGTAGTCGCGCGATCGTTACTTTCATCTAATCGCTGATTGTGATTTTCGCGACGACGTTTGGATCGGTTATTTGGCTGGCGATAATCTCGCGTAAATAATACAATATGTCATTCAGAAATATGTGTATCAAAAATAATAAAAAAGTTATCATTCAGAGATATTTGTATCAGAAATAAATAATCATTCTTATGAATTTTTTACCTAAAGAAATCTTTGGAGCAAAGTAAAAAATGTTTACTTTCGTATATTTTCTTAAAGTATAACGTATATAAGTAACATAATTTATCATCCCGAAATATTTATACCAGAAGTAAATTATCATCCTTATACATGAATTTTCCATCCAGAAAAAAAACCTTTTCTTCCTTTGGAAAGTAAAGTAAAACATTTTTACTCTCGTATATCTTTTAATCGCTGAAATAGCACAATTTATCATCCAGCAATATTTATATCAGAAATAAATTATCATCTTTACGAATCCTTTACCTAGCAAACTCTTTTTTCTCTGGAGTGAAGTAATAAATTTACTTCCGTGTATTTTCTGGTCGCGTCTGTGACAATAAATTGTGCTTTCGTTGTGTACAATAAGTGGCTGAAAGATGTTTAAATATGAAATAATTATCAAAAGTCAAACGAGAGAGAGATTAGAATATAACTCGTTATCGAGGAAATATAGCTTCGAGATAACAAATAAAACTATATCCCAGGTGCTATATCAGTTCCGCATCGAGAGATAACCGCTACGTCGACGCAGCAAGTAATGTATCGTGAATCGTAATAACGAATAAATTTCTCGTTCTCTCCAACCGCGTTCTAAGTTACTCTCAGTTATCTGAATAAAACAATGCGACAGTACTTGCTCAATATCAATAATGGTACTTACAGTTCAACTTAATCATGCTCTCAGCCAATTATTTCTAAGTGTCGACTTTACTTTACACTAAGTGTCAATGTCATCCGCTTACCAGACATCGTTACTTCCTCGATCGTGGACGTACTGACACGTTATGATGGATGGCTGAGCGACACGGACGATAGTTCATGCGTGGCGGCGCATTTCGTCGGTAAGATTATCACCAAGTGTTGATACTTTGGGCGTTTACGAACTCCAGACTATATTCTCGCAGCTTATCAGTGTTATCGGTAACGCCGATTATAGATAAGCCACACGTCACGCAAAAGTTTATTTTTCATCGCACCGCGACGCCTTCCCTATTCAACACTTCTTCCCCATTCGCTCGTCGTGTCACCTGACCATCCTGTCGCGCGATAATGTTCCGCAACATTCGTATTGGTCCGTTCGATTTGCGCGCGAAAAAAATCTCGAACAATTCGAAGATTCGAGCGAGCGTAGCGTGTATCTTTTGACACGTGTACCACGTTAGTCATCAATACGACCAATCATTCGCGATAATACATATTGTGATACTCGTATTGGTCTGTCTGGCTCGTGCGCGGAAGAAATTCCGACGATTCAAAGATTCACACAAGCGCAGCGTGTATCCTCTGACGTCTACCACGTTAGTCATCGATACGGCCAATCATTCTCGATAATACAATCGTTGCGTCTGATAGCTTTACGATGACTCGCGGTCCGAGAACTGCACGAAGTGCGGGCAATACATTTTCCACTTATTTCGAGCCACTTGAGCCCGCCGATTCTCCGACACGAGATACGCGCGGCATTTTAATCAAATATCACCGTGTCAAAATAAAATGGAACATTCGGGGCCGAAGTGATTTATCGTGCGCGGCAAAGAGTTTAACGACTGAATGCTGGTAAAAGAGTTGGAAAACTAGCCAATTGTGCGAACAGCTTGACGCGTCGCTCGGCTCTCCGTCGCTACGTTTCGCCGCCGTTACGTCGCCGAGCGTCGCGATATATCGCGAGCGGCAGCGAGTGAAGGCGACGGTGAAGGAACGAACTTTCTCGTTCGCGCGCGCAGCAGGAAGCGAACGATTTGCCGTGCTCATCGACTCCGAGCGAGGAGAGGCGGCGTGGCGGCTCTTACGTAGCGTATCGCCGTCGTGCAGAAACACGCGTTACGTCCTCGCGATTCGCGCTTCGGGAGACCGTGCACCGGGTACTCGCTCATTATCGTCAGGTGGAATTGTGCTCCATTGCGTAATGAGAGAAAATACGGTCCGGCTACAAGGAGCGAACGAAAGGGGACGACGAGGATGGCCAGAAGGTGTGCATCCAGTCGTCGTGATGTAAGAACGATCCTCCGCTCGGCGAAACGGCACGGATGGGGTCGAAACGCGATGGAAATCGCGATGCAATTGCCCATGCTGCATAATCGTATCTTACTCTTCGCCAGAGGTCTATCGTATTCGCAGTCCCGCCGTTATTCGGCAACCCCACGTCATAAATTTCCGATTGGTTGCTAATGTATGCTTCTTTCACGTGCAAATTATCAATCCAACTGCAGTATAACAGTCCGTGAATCCGTAATTAATCGTACACTCAATCAAAATTTGTCAATGATTCGTAGCTATAAATATCAATCCAAGTGTGTGTGTGTGTGTATGCAAAATGCGCGAAATTAGCAAGCGCAGATTTCGGCTGAATAACTTCGTCATCGTCTCTCGTAGTTATCTAATCGTGATCACACGATCAGATTGGAAATCCATTTAAATAGAGAGTGTGTTACGAAGAAATCCATAATTACGAGGAAATCCATAATCACAATTAGCGAAAACATCGATGACGCGATTCTCTGTCAAGCGGCATGCGTGGGAACACCAAAGTTGCCCGTTGTTTCCGCTAAAGTTACGGTAAAATTAGTAAAACGAAAGATTCTTTCGTCAGAATCCACCCACAGCTTCTTCTAATCGTTGATCCGTACTTAATCGTGGCATAGATAATGCGTTCAGAGTTTAATGAGACGTATAACGGGCGCACGCGCTTCGAGCGTGAAAAAAGGGACGAGTATTTAATAATAAGGACCCAGATAAATTTTCATGCTTATCATCGCGTGAGACAATCTCGACGGTAGAAACTCTACAATTCTTCCAATCATATGGTTGTCATCTAGATACTCAGATGGACCTCCATAATTATCACGATATAAAACAAAATACGATGGAAACTCCGCAATTTTTTAAATTACATTTATGAAATGAATATATTGAATTAATTATTAAATTTAAATCGTAAGATCAAATTATCAAATTTTTCTCGTATTAACGCAGCAACAAGTTTACATTAAAAATTACACTCAGATGTTCACATTACATTTAACATGATATTGTTTTGAACAAAAAACAATTTATGTTTTCCGTATTTCTATATTTTGTTATTCTATACGATAAAAATATGAGTGTAATCTGATTGTAAGGGATTCGATATTGTTGAATTTCGTGATTCGACATGTCTAACTCTCTACTAACCAAATTAAACCATTTAAAAAATTTTTCATGTACGCCGAGGATGTTTAAAATTCAACACATATAAACTTTAATTTTTCTAATTTCTTATTTTTCCGAAATAAGTTTGTGACTCTAAGGTCACGTTGGGCAGTTACTATCGCTGCTAACATACTAAAAAAAAGGCAGCTATTTTGTGACTTTAACGTCATATCGATCAAGACAGGAAGAACATTCATATTGAAGATAAATAATGATGAAACTGAATTATGACTTCAAAGTCACAATTGACAGTAGAGAATTAAAGTTACCGTAAAAATTACGTAGTTCAATCTATCGGGAATCGCCGTGTCTTTTTCACCAAATGTTTGTATTTCTATTTCGACATTCTATGCGAAAAATATGAATAGCATATGAACCATTCGCAAAAGACGCAAGCTTTGCAGATCCATTATCCCTCCGAATCTCCTCCGAAAATATTGCTTTCAATGCTCTCTCCATAGAAACTCCGCGCAGATTAATCGCCACCGCGTAATCGCGTGCGACCGATGGCCGCACGGCGGGTCACGTAGACAGACATCGTTCGAAATTCGAGACACTTAATCGGCCGGGAGAGATGAGATAGGAGAATCCTTGGCGCACGGTCTTCCACCGTGCAAGAACGTTGCACAGAAGGGTGATTTAAGCCCGGCGAGGGTGCTTTAATGGATCCGCTAAGGCGAGTGCTATCTCCCGGATATACTCCCTCGCCCCTTTGTGAATAATGCCATCGCCCGCGCAGCGCGATCGTCCCTTTTCCTTTCTTTCCTTTCCTCCGTGTATGTATATATATATACGTATATGTGTTCTCTCTCGGTGTGTGTATACACTATGTAACCAGAGCTTGACGTAAAATATCGGAATCACGTCGTCTATTTGCCCAATACTATTGACATGACGCGAGAGATATTGCCGCGTTTCGGCTGGATTATTTGGAAAGCTCCAACGGCGATTATCAGAATATGTTGGAGCAGCTGTATATTGATAAGAAGGCAAAAACAAGATATGGATATGTGCAATTAGAGTGAAATTGAAGTTTACTTTAATACGATACAAGAAAGCTTCTCTGCGAGCTGTTTAAGTACGCAATAAACATAACGACGTATCAATGAAACGTCATTGTCAGTTTAGAGACGTCATCATATTGACTCGATGATTGGACTGTGAGATTTCTCGTCGTGTTAAAGCCCGATCTACAATGTGCTCTTTGCTTTCTGTTTCTTTCATCTCTTTCTATCTTACATCTCAACCTGTAAGTCAGAAAAAGGCAGAGAGAGAAGCAGGAAGCTGGGAACATACTGTAGATCAGGTCGAAAAGTGACGAGATGTACGAACCAACTCTCCCGTAAACGCGAGTGCGATTCGCCAGAAATAGTACATTCAGAGAAGACGTTTCCGGAATATTTTCGGAACACGCGCGCGCACACAGAAATCACCGCAATCACTCAAGCGGTACATTTGTGCCAGTGTCCGCAAAGTCCATCGGCTGTCGCGGGCAACAAATCGCACACCAGGGGAACATTCTCATGGCGTGACATCATGGCGCGCTCCGACACCGTCTACCCTCTGCCCCGCTTGGGCTCGCGTGACGTCAGAACTGGGTTAATTTTGCTTAACGCTTAACGAGCGCGCTTTCCCTTCTAACGAATGTTAAATCGCAGGATTCAAGCGGAAGTGCCATGTTACGCGCGGGTCGGCGTTGCTGCAACGATAGACGATAGAACAAGGGAGGAGCTGCGCTCGCGCGAGCCGCTGAACCGAACAAAACACTCCCTGGTCGGCGCGCGTTTAAGCTGACAAAACAATTCCGCCGGCGTAGTGGCGGCTGGCAAATACGTTACCGGTAGTCAATGTTCCAAAAGGATCCATTTGTCTCGCCCGACAAAACGTCGGGTCGAGCGCGATACCAACGCTCATTCTATATCGCGCCAGAGAGAAAGAGAGAGAGAAAGAGAAAGAGAGAGAGAGAGAGAGAGGAGAGAGAGAGAGAGAGAGAGAGAGACGAAGCGCGCGCTCACGCTGCATTCAACATACCCCGATGGGCAATGCCGTGTTAACGCGTTAAGTGCGATTCAAGCTACGTTTGTTGCGCGTCTGTGCATCAGCCGAGAAGTCTGACGGATAACCGTAAACTGCCCTGACTCGCAATTCTTCTTGTGTCTCCCGATATCTTTGGATTTTCTGGCGATTTTGCTTAAAAAAGGATTGTGCTAAAAATGTTATTATACTCCCAGCATTTAGATATTCGCGCTCCAATATCTGAGCCTCAACTCTTACTGGCCAAAAATATATTTAATTAAAGTTGTATACTTCGAAGAGTCTTTGTATAGAATTCAGAAAGAGAAACAACCGTGGCAAATTTGATTCACCTGTGCTCGAACTGTATCAGCAATTTATCTTGGAAATGATTGTAATCGCTTTTGAAATTCTGTAAAAGCACACCAAGAATAATTGAAAATTTATTTATGGGATTTAAAGTCATTTCTGTGAAATAAAGCTGACTTCTGTGAATAAATCTTACGCGTGCCGGAAATTTTCAAGTATTTCTTTCTCAGTAATTCTTTCTTTCTAAGTATTTCTTTCTTTCTAATACTACGCTATACGAACTGATCTCAAATAAATATATGGTTGGAGAGAGCTTTGGAAGAGAGAAGCGAGAGAGAGAGAGAGAGAGAGAGA